TACATCTAACGCTTAGGCACTTCTAGAAGATGCCTAGGCATGCTAGGCTCTAGGCAGAGCCTCAATGTTGCCTTACGTCTAGCGTTTTCTTGAACCTTGCTTTTTTAATCACTTAGTTTTCGTAATTCTGTCATATTTCTTTCATTTTAACTTGAAATTTAAAGAAATTGCCTACAAAAAATGTGTTAGTTGCAATCTACATAATTATTACAATTTTGCTAAATAATGAGTAAAAAATAGCACTTAATAATATGATATACACAATCATATATATTTTGCTACATTTCAAAAAAGACAAATTAGTAATTCAAAAACAAGTGTTTGTTGTAATCTTACCACTCTTAAATCATGACCTTACTTGCAACTATGATAAGACAAACCGAACTATATATCGTACATGTCATATCATTATATTATTACTATGATTATATGAATATCAAGATATGATAGTGGTACGATGACATCAAATTTTTTTGCTCAAAGATATAACTTCTTACAATCTTATCGCTATCATACCAATATTATACCAGTATGATAAGACTATAATATCATCTCATTACTGTCGTACCACGATCATACCACTAACCGATTGATAACACCATCATATCACCAGTGGCAGAGCTATTTGGGAAGCTGGGGGGTGCTTGCAGCTAGGGGTGTTCAAACGATTACCATGGTAATTACCAAACCAATAAAGGCTAAATTCTATTAACCATGGAATACAATATCATAATCAAACCATCCAAACTAATACACCAACCAAATTAAATAAAATAAATTTTAATCTATTTGGTTAATTGGTTAACCAGATTAACCAATATAACATCACAGTATCATTAAGTGAGAAAATTTTGAGTTAATGCATATTGTTCGTAAAGATTGTCCTAATATGAAAAAAGGATCAGGAGTGTCAGACAAGAAGTATGCAGTCAACGGGGAAGACCCTTATGCTTGATGGGAAGAAGGATATGACGAATTATTACACCCTCTCCGCCCAACCACCAGTTTCAAGTCTGTGCGACATCTTCCGATCCACCGTCACCAAATCCATAATGATAATGCTCATGGATTGAGACTCAAATCCATGCTCTTCAATCAAAATGGGTTCAGCCGGGTGCTGAATGTGGCCAACGTTTTTCGCTCCTCACTTTTTGGCCAAGATTTTAGCCATGGGCTAAGCGATGGTTATAGTTAATCTTCACATAAATACATACAAATAATAATTATCTTACCGCCAATAAAAGTATTTACCTAGCAAAAATATATGCCAATAGTATGGGGTTACTGAACTATTGTGTTTGTGTGAATTTACTTAGCCTCTTAGCAATTATCATAGGTTAATGAATACATTCCTTTCAAGTTTGGCAAAATACACTTGTATAGCCAAAACTTTCGCGTGTGTGCCAATAATAGCCAAATATGACGAAATACCACTTATAGCCAGCTTTTAAAGTTGTTGTAGGACAAATATAGCCATTTTCGTCAGATACTTTAACTGCGTTAATAACACTGTTAACTCATTTGATGGAATTTTGAAGTTGAGGGTTCTCCTTTATCAAAAGTGTGTAAGAAGTTAAGGGTTCTTAACAAGTTGCTTAAGGAGCTTAATAAGGAGGAATTTTCTGATTTGCGAGAAAGGGTGAAGCTTTAAAAACTTGAACTTCAAAATGCTCAAGCTGAAGCTCTAACCAATCCTTCTTCAGAGTCTTTTACTAGTATTAAAAATTGTGAAGTGGAACTGAAGGCACTTAGTAAAGCTGAGGAGTCTTTTCTACGGCAAAAGTCTAGAGAAACTGGTTACATGAAGGTGATTCAAACTCTTCTTACTTCCATCGTTCTGTCAAAATTAGAAACCAGAGAACTGCCATCTACGCGAGACTGTAGAATAGCTTTGCTTCACTGTTATTTTTTTATATCTAGACATGAAAATTCATTCATTGTTGCTCTGATCTACTAAGAGTAGCGACTATAATTTGTATGGACAACCTTCGCTTTTTTCCTTGTATTTGTATCTAAACCTTTCTTTCTTTGTTTCTTTTCTAATAATAATATTGAGTCACCATTATAAAAAAATAGAAACATGAGAAATATTATACGTTATCTTATTACTAATTAGGGGGATTGAGTTATTGATACTGTAACTATGAGTGAAGTTGCTGTTAATTTCTATCAGAACTTGTTGGGGAAGTGTGACCTGCATGTTAAAGCAAGAGTCAGTTGTTTTGTATAAAAAGCTGTTGCAGAAGAAACTTCCCAGTAATCTTGCCTTAGACTTGTGTAGACCCGATGAGATAAAGAGGACTATTTTTGGTTTTAAAGGGGAAAAGAGTCATGGACCAGACGAATATTCAACTTGCTTCTTTCATGCTACTTGGAGTATAGTTGGAGCTGAGATCACTACAATAATTCAACATTGTTTTCAGCACTCTGTATTTACTAACGAGGTAAATTCTACTATTCTTGCTCTGCTATCTAAAACTAAGCATCTTGAAGAAATGAAAAACTTTAGACCAATCTCTTGCTGTAACATTCTCTACAAATGTATAGCTAAGATAATTTATTCTACGCTTAGTGAATGTCTACCTCATGTAATCAGTGAAAACCAAACTGCATTTGTCAAAGGCAGAAGTACTAACCAGGATTGTAGTAAAATTTTACACAATTCTTTGCCATCTTCTTTCCAAAGAGTCCTTGTTTCCTTTGAAATTTAGTGAACTCAATGTTCACCACTTCATCATGTATATCTTCATCACAACCATGGTAGAATTGCTCAACACAAGTGAGCAATGCTGCTGTAATGTCGGCATTGTCAAATATTGACGAGTCAGCATAACTATAGTGAGGATTAAGAAGATATGCCGTTAGATGCAATGGAGCATCAAGTCGGCCTCTCATCTTCTTCTTCACAATAGCAATGACTTCTTTGTAACGAAGTTCTTCATTCTTAAACGCCTCCTTTATCTCTCTCTTTGCCTTCAACAGTTCACCATACACGAAACCCATAGAAGGTTTCACATCCCCATCCACTAATCAAAGCAATTTCACCAATGGCTCAAAGACTTTCAAGCATTGTTCCACACCATTCCAAAATCTAACTCTAAGAATCGTGTCATAAGCCTCCTTGCCTTTCTTTAAACTCGTCTCCTTAATGTTTTCCCACTTCGCATCCACCACCATCTTCCTCAAAGAATCTTTCTTATCCAACAAGCTTTGCAAAGTAAGAAATTGAGAAGCAAATCGAGTCACACCTGGTCGGATGATCTCTCTCTTCTTGGTGAAGGATCTCAGGCATTCCAAGGTGCGGTGGTGGCCATATACGAAGATGGTGAAAACCTTAGCTTTATCTACAATCTTCTTGAACCTTGGTATGTTGCCAATTCCTTGGAGCATCAAATTGATGGTGTGAGTTTCACAAGAACTCCAAAATATGTTTGGCCTCTTCTCCAATAAGAGGGCCTTTGCTGCCATATTGTTGGAAGCATTGTTTGTCACCACTTGCACCACATGTTCAGCTCCAACTTCCTCGATTGCATTGTCAACTAGCTCAGAGATGACTTCACCTGTGTGAGAAATCGCTGATGTGTCCTTAGACTTTATAAAACTAGTTCCCTCAGCACAGTGTGTAACTATGTTCATGATGCTTCTCCTCTTCATGTCCGTCCAAGCATCAGTCATTATAGAGCAGCCATTCTTTTCCTTCTCCGCCTCTTGATCACTTAACAAGCTCTTAGTCCTTGCATACTCAGCTTTCAACAAAGGCTCTCGAAGCACGTACTGTGTTGGAGGCTTCAATCCAGGACCAAATTGACCATTGACCTCAACCATTTGCTTGAATTCATCATTGTCAATGGAATTGAATGCAATAGCTACAAAATAAAATTAGGGCTAAATTAGAAAAATTAACTTGTTCATCTAAGAAAGAATTAAAGGATATAGCTATGCACTAACCATGTGTGTACACCCATTTTGCAATATATTGCTGGACTTGAAGTGTCCTCTCATTAAAAAGTGCTTGATTTATCTTTTGTTGTTGAAATGATGCACTTGAAGACAAGCTAGGATCAATGGCACGTGTCCACTTGTCTATAGGACCTAACTTGTGAGGTTCAGAGCTACCTGCACAAGTAAGGTCTTCTTGTTGTCCACCGGAGGAGACATGAACATCATCTCTCAAACCTAGCTCACGAACAACATTGTCCTTCTTCTTCTTTTCTGTTCCCTACAACCATTTCAAGCATGCTTGTTTAGCTTCATCGGGGCAACTCCTACACTTTGCAACTCCGCCACCAACTTGAGCAATGTGTTTCTTGAAACGGTTAATTCCCCCTCGTGTTTATATTCTTGCAAAAGTTACACACGACTCTATCCTTGTTGTTCGGATCGACCAACTGTCCATATTCCCAACCAATATCATCAGACTTCCTCTTCAATGAATTAGCATTATCAATCGTTGAAGCAGTGTTAGCACCCTCTGCCTCCATTTATCAAATCAGTAGGAGACCCTGCAAATCACAATCGCAAAACAACCCTTAAACAAACAAAATTGGGAGTCACATTCACATTCACATATATATATATATATAATATATATATATATATATATGGTGCCTTCTACTGTACCCCGGGTGAAATCCGGGGTACCGCATACCTTGAGTATGAAAACGCTATCTAGACCTCGAATTAGCAGGATTTTTGGGCACGATACTATGTCCTAACCCTTAATGAGTGAACCTTGGGTCCTAATGATCTAAATCATAAATATAAACCCTAAGATGGTGAATTGATTTTTTTGCCTATATTTGGACGAATCATAACCGTCGATTATTGTTTCTAATTAAATTGATCTTGTGGTATAAGATTTAGAGAATTAAGACCTAGATTTTGATCTTTAAGGGTTAGAGTGTAGTATCATGTCCGAAAGATCAGTCAATTCAAGTTCTGAATAACGTTTTCTTACTCAAGGTATACGGTACCCTGGATTTCACCCAGGGTACTGATAACGATGTAATTGCACATGTTTGCGCCCCTAGTTCTTATCCGTTTGAGGGGCATAGTCGTGTGTTTTGGCCTATTTTACGCCGGGTTGTACTATTTTGTCATGTTTCAGGTCCCAGGCGTCAAAGGGAAGGCTAACCACGAGTTTCGGGGCATTTGGAAGTCACTTCGGTGAGCTGGAGCCAAAACACGGGCAGCCTAAAGCATTACACGGCCGTGTACTGCTGGCCGTGCTTTTTATGCCGAGAGCAAATTCAGTTTGGCCAATTCAGCTGCAAACACGGGCACCGAAGCACGGCCGTGTTCAGTCAAAGCACGACCGTGTACATGGCGAAGCACGGCCGTGTTTAACCCACTTGCTGGCCGTGTAATTAAGCCCTGGCCGAGGCACGGGCGGAGTCAGGCAAAGCACGGCCGTGCCCTCGACCGTGCTTTGGCCACTGATGCTTTTAAGCAGAGTTTCAGCCACAATTCAAGGGGATTCGAGTTTTTGAGAGAGAGATCAGTTCCTAGAGAGAGAAAGTGACGAGCAAGAGTTCCCAAGTGCCCTAGATTAATCTTCAACACCATTGGAGGCCAGCTTGAGCTTGGAGAAGTGCCAATCAACGTCCAGAAGCAGGAATCCATCCTTCGCAGTATGAATTCCGTGTCTGATTCTGCTTTTGCTTTCTTCTCTATGGAGTAGTTCTCCCATTCATCTGGGTATGGAGAACCCTAGATTTGTGTGTTAGGCTTTGATTGTATGAACCCAAGTACTGATTCTATGATTGATTATATTCGATTGAGGTTTTAATGATTGAATGACTTGAATCCTGATCAAATTCCTGTTGTTTCTGCTTTAACCTAGAATGAGAATATCTGCCTAGGTTAATAGAGTATCCTTGATTGAAGGTAGGGAGTTGGTGACTTTAGTCGAGGAGCCAACTCACTATTCTGTACCGGATTTACTCCGGTAGTGGAGGTTTTGTTCTTAGGGCCTCAATCTGTCGACTCCGGTGGAGGTTAGTCGCCCGCTAGAAAGTCAGATTGAGAGGGTCTGAAGACCTTTAGTCGAGACTTCAGGCTGTTTAAGAACCTTCCGCAGTATAACTGTCATAGAAACTGAACTTGGTAATTACAATCCGGCTTAACTGCAGTCTAGGGGGAACCATATCCGGGTGACCTCTTTAACCTGAATACAACCAGTTAACTTGCTTTGTTTGTTTGGTAGTTTAGACTTGCACTCCAGTTTTATTGCTAGATAACAAGAACTCACTGAGTAGTCAGCAAATCTAGGACCCGGGTTGATAATTAAACCTAAACTCGCTACACTACGCTTTAGGAAGTGGTTACACTTGGCCAATTCCTGGAGTGACAGTAGAGTCGAGTCAAGTTTTTGGCGCCGTTGCCGGGGACGGCTAGGTTGTTGAAGAAAAGTGATTTCTGTTAATTTAGCTTTTCTTTTTGCTTTGTTTTCTTTGTCCCACTTGTGCCTTCACGGGTTTGTTGCTTGAGTGTGTGCAGGTAGTGCATGACCCGTAGCCAGTCGGGAGGTTTACTGCCGTTCAATCCAGAGATTGACCGCACCTGTCGCCAGCTCAGGAGACAACAGCGAGCTAGACTGGCTACGGAAGAGCGCATAGACGGCCACGTGAACAGTGATTCTGAAGAAGAGCACAGGATGGACGGAGAGTATAATCCGCACCAGGGGAATCCTCATCAGGTTCCCCCGGCGAATCAGGTCCTGGGGAACAACCCCATACCCCAGGACCATGGAGTTCATCATCCACCGCAGCCGGGTCCCACATTGGAGTACTACTACACTCCGCGGATTGCTGACATCCGCCCGGTCATCCTCTACCCGCCTATCCCAGCAAACAACTTCGAGATCAAGCCATGCTGGATTCAGCTCATTACATCTTCTATCCAGTTCAATGGCTTGAAGAATGAGGAGGCCAGGGTGCATCTTTCCCGTTTTCTGCAGCTAACAAACGGGTTCAAGCTGAATGGTGTCCCGGATGATGCGATCCGCCTTCATCTCTTCCCCCATTCTCTGGCGGGGAATGCTAAGAGGTGGTTGGAGACCCAGCCCCCATTGTCCATCACCTCTTGGGACGATCTGGCTGACAAGTTCGTGCACCGGTACTATCCAGCATCGAAGACTACAGAGATTCAGCGGGAGATCACTCACTTCCGCCAGGAGCCAGATGAGTCACTTCGTGATGCTTGGGAGCGGTACATGGGCTATTTCTGGCAGTGCCCCCATCATGGCTTCAGCGATGCATTCACAGCGGGGAACTTCTACAGTGCCCTTTCGCCAGATAGCCAGAGGGTGATTGAGTCTTTATGCCCAGGAGGGGATATTCTTACCAAGACTCCACCCGAGCTGAACCAGATGATCAGTACTTTGGCTGCCAGAGATCATTCTTGGGGACAGGGTAGCCGAGGCACACAGTCCCGGGACCGTGGTGTGCACGCCATGGAGACCAGATCCGGGCTCGAGCAGCAGGTAGCTGAGCTAGTGCAGACATTGAAGCAGCCCAACAGTCTGATTCCGGGTAGAGGTTTGGCTACACCTCCAGTTGCTCAGTGTCAGTGGTGTGAGAGCTCCAGTCACCTAGTGGAGGACTGCCAGGCTATGAGGGAGTCTACCACACCCCAGGAGCAGTTGGCCTTCATCGCCAATGCGAGGCGCCTCGATCCATACAGTAGCACATATAATGAGGGGTGGCGCCAGCATCCCAACTTCGCCTGGAGCAGCAACACCACTAAACCACCTGGTTTCCCAGCACCAGCAGGTGGTTTTCAGCAGAGGCAGCCCTACCAGGCTCGCCAGGGGCCAGACCCACAGCAGCAGCCCTACCAGCCTAGGCAGGGCCAGCCATTCCAGCAGCCCCAGCGCCAGTTTGCCGAGCCAGCAGCAGGTCCGGCCCCAAATGACAGGATGACGAAGCTGGAAAACATTCTAGCTTCGTTCATGACTAGCACCCAGGCTGCTATCACATCACTAGAGGCAGGTCAGCGGAACCAGGGTGCCATTTTGCAGGATCTGCAGACCCATGTGGGCATCTTGGCCCGCCAAAACACTACCAGGGCACCGGGGACTCTGCTTGCCACCACTGTTCCTAATCCTCGAGATCCTCACCAGCATCAGCAGCTGGATGACATTTTTACCAGGAGCGGTAAGGTCATATCTGCTGATCCTGTCCCGGCCAGACAGGAGGAACCACTACCTGCTTCAGCACTTCCAACCGACGATGCAGAAGTGCGGGTGGAGAAGGAAGCCCCTGCTCCCAAGCCACAACCAGTGGTTAAAGAGCATGTACCCCAGCTTCCCTTCCCCACTCGCCTACACAAGGACAAGCTGGAGACTGAGTTTGCCAAGTTCATGGCAATGTTGAAGCAGCTCAACATCAGCATACCGTTCATGGAGGCACTGTCGAAGATGCCCAAGTATGCCAAGTTCATGAAAGATATCTGCACCAACAAGAAGAAACTTGGGGATCTCTCGATAGTGATGCTGAGCGAGGAGTGTTCTGCTATCCTGCAGAACAAGCTGCCCGAGAAGCGCAAGGATCCAGGGAGTTTTACTATCCCTCTTACTATTGGCAGCATGCATGTAGGCAAGTCCTTGGCGGACCTAGGCGCTAGCATTAACGTCATGCCATATAAGTTGTATAAAATGCTAGACCTAGGTGAACTTAGCCCTACTAGGATGAGCATTCAATTAGCTGATCGTTCTATTGTGCATCCTAGGGGAATCATAGAGGATCTGCTTGTTGGTGTTGGTGCATTCACATATCCTGTTGATTTTGTTATTCTTGATATACATGAGGATGTGGATGTGCCGTTGATTCTAGGTAGGCCATTTCTTGCCACCGCCAAGGCACTAATTGATGTGCATGATGGTAAGTTGATCTTGCGTGCTGGGGATGAACAGGCTACTTTTTCTGTGACTGAGTTTGATCACTGTGCTATGATTGCTGTCACGCCTGTGCATGCTATGTCTGATCAGGTACACGAGCCTGTCGTGTATCCTTCTGCTCCTCTCATTTTGCAGGACCCTCCTATCATTCCTTCGCCGTCACTCCATCCAGCCTCGCCTCCGAACAAAAAGCTCAAGGAGGAGTGGCGGCCGAAGCAGTAGGTTGCTAAGCCTGCACGGAAGAAGAGTGGCGACCACTATGAGCTGGTCCCACCTCCTGCACCACGACCACCCTGGCCGTCCGGGTACTCACTCGCCTGCATCTTGCCAGATGGGCAGGTCGAGCTGACTGATGATAGTGGTCGCATCCGTCGGGTGCATGGCCACAACCTAAAGCTGTACCTCAAGAGCGAAGTGGATCCGCTCTTGGAGGCACCTGTTCCTGCACCTCCCTGAGTATCCACCATGGGCGTCCAGCTAATACGACGGTAAAGAAGCGCTTGTGGGGAGGCAACCCCACCTCGGTTTGATTTTCTTTCTTGTGTTTTGCGTCGGATTGTAACCCGGTTTGGGTTTGGTTGGTTTTCTTTTGGTTTGGATGATATTTTATTGGGCTGACCATTGAACCTAACATATTGTGTTTGAGCTCTTCTGTTTCCCTTCGGCTGTGCTTGCCCCGACTGGCCCGTTTCCAGTCTCCTGCAGTCCGTGCATACCGGTAACATCGTTCCCTTATCCTTCCCTCTTCTCCATTGAGGGCAATGTCGATCTTAAGTGTGGGGGGGTATTTATCTTTTGACTGCATTAGATCTGTTTGTGTGCTTGGAGCCTATCTGTTTGTGTGCTTGGAGACTAGTCCACTGTCCAAATTTTTAAATTTGAGGGCTCCAAGTACGTGTTTCCTTGCAATTGCCTGCTCAGTATGCTTTGAATTGACAGTCTTTATAGTAATATGCAACCTAGGGAGGTAGTGTAGCACTATGGAGGATGTTGATGCATTTAAGAAGTCTCATTGCTTCTTCATATTGAGTTGGTTGATTGAGTGAATTAGTGATCTTAGGACCCTTGAATTGTGTGGTGTTGTGGATTCTCTACCTGTCATGGACTCTTGTTTCATGTTTTGAGTTTAACAGGTGCTCGAAAATGTGCTTTAAAATAACGTCTCCCGTGCGAATAGGGCGAAAGTGTGTAAGGGGAGACGGGAATTCGTTCCCAATTTCCACCTACTACCTCCAGCCCCCTTACATGTCTTTCCCCCGCACGAGGCTCGAGACATCCGCTCCTGGCATGGCCGGTAAGAGCAGGTTGGGACCCTTGAAAAGAAAACAAGAAAAGAAAAATAACAGAAAACAAGCAAAACAGAAAAAAAAGGGTTCCAACCATCTTCAAAGAAAATCGAGCACCTTGAAAAATGTGAGTCCATGATCCTTTGTTTTGAGAATCTCTCCATCCACGATTCATTTGTCCTCTGTTCACTGTTTGCCATGATGCCGACTCGCCGAAGAAGCTATGAGATGACTTGTGCGTCAGTTGACCTCGTAAGTTGCTAAATGATCTAGGAAGTCCTCTGCCTAAGATCTGGGTTGTTTGTTGCTATAGAGGTCTGGAGAGTTGCATTGGTTTGAGTTAGGTTTGCTTGGGGACAAGCAAACGGTTAAGTGTGGGGGAGTTTGATAACGATGTAATTGCACATGTTTGCGCCCCTAGTTCTTATCCGTTTGAGGGGCATAGTCGTGTGTTTTGGCCTATTTTACGCCGGGTTGTGCTATTTTATCATGTTTCAGGTCCCAGGCGTCAAAGGGAAGGCTAACCACGAGTTTCGGGGCATTTGGAAGTCACTTCGGTGAGCTGGAGCCAAAACACGGGCAGCCTAAAGCATTACACGGCCGTGTACTGCTGGCCGTGCTTTTTATGCCGAGAGCAAATTCAGTTTGGCCAATTCAGCTGCAAACACGGGCACCGAAGCACGGCCGTGTTCAGTCAAAGCACGGCCGTGTACATGGCGAAGCACGGCCGTGTTTAACCCACTTGCTGGCCGTGTAATTAAGCCCTGGCCGAGGCACGGGCGGAGTCAGGCAAAGCACGGCCGTGCCCTCGACCGTGCTTTGGCCACTGATGCTTTTAAGCAGAGTTTCAGCCACAATTCAAGGGGATTCGAGTTTTTGAGAGAGAGATCAGTTCCTAGAGAGAGAAAGTGACGAGCAAGAGTTCCCAAGTGCCCTAGATTGATCTTCAACACCATTGGAGGCCAGCTTGAGCTTGGAGAAGTGCCAATCAACGTCCAGAAGCAGGAATCCATCCTTCGCAGTATGAATTCCGTGTCTGATTCTGCTTTTGCTTTCTTCTCTATGGAGTAGTTCTCCCATTCATCTGGGTATGGAGAACCCTAGATTTGTGTGTTAGGCTTTGATTGTATGAACCCAAGTACTGATTCTATGATTGATTATATTCGATTGAGGTTTTAATGATTGAATGACTTGAATCCTGATCAAATTCCTGTTGTTTCTGCTTTAACCTAGAATGAGAATATATGCCTAGGTTAATAGAGTATCCTTGATTGAAGGTAGGGAGTTGGTGACTTTAGTCGAGGAGCCAACTCACTATTCTGTACCGGATTTACTCCGGTAGTGGAGGTTTTGTTCTTAGGGCCTCAATCTGTCGACTCCGGTGGAGGTTAGTCGCCCGCTAGAGAGTCAGATTGAGAGGGTCTGAAGACCTTTAGTCGAGACTTCAGGCTGTTTAAGAACCTTCCGCAGTATAACTGTCATAGAAACTGAACTTGGTAATTACAATCCGGCTTAACTGCAGTCTAGGGGGAACCATATCCGGGTGACCTCTTTAACCTGAATACAACCAGTTTACTTGCTTTGTTTGTTTGGTAGTTTAGACTTGCACTCCAGTTTTATTGCTAGATAACAAGAACTCACTGAGTAGTCAGCAAATCTAGGACCCGGGTTGATAATTAAACCTAAACCCGCTACACTACGCTTTAGGAAGTGGTTACACTTGGCCAATTCCTGGAGTGACAGTAGAGTCGAGTCAGGTACCGTAGAACTCCCCATATATATCCATTCTCAAACCATTCTGCCCACCACATATGACAGAAGAAAAAATCCCTTAAACAAAGCACCCTCTGCCCACCACATATGACAGAAGAAAAAATCCCAAACCATTCGACATTTCTCACCTGGTCGCCGACCCGCTGTGGTGTATTGATGATGGCGATCGGCGAGAGAAGGCGAGGACGACCGATGAGTCTGACGGCAAGAACGATCGGCGAGGACGAAGGCTAGAACAGTGCTGGTCAATGGAGAGTATGGCGGCGAGGACGAAAGCGAGAACGGCGCTGGTCGATGGCAAGTCTGGCGGCGAGGACGGCGGCAAGTCTGGCGGCGAGGACGGCGGCGAGTCTGACGGGGCGGCTGGTCTATCGTGTTGAGGACGGCGCTGGTTGCTCGTTGCTCTACTTTTTGCTGGAAATGTCAAATGAAGGGTTTTGGTTTAAAGGGAGAACATCTTCCCCTTTATTTCCTACCCTAGGCGTCGCCGACATATGGGAAACGTGATTCCCAGCGACTAATCGCCGCCTAGGCGTTTTGCCGCACGATTCCGCGTTTTGTGTGCCCAAGTAATTCGCCCAGCCCAATACTCCACGTTTCCTCCATGCCCAGCGCCCGCTTTAGCGCGTCTTCTTGAACATTGGTAGCACTACAGCCTAGGTCCCGGGACCCACCCTGAGAATGGGCAAGGACACTAAAATATAGTAGAATGCTGGTGCGGCTGGGGAGAATCGAACCCAGCTGAGAGGAAGAGAAGTTTGTGAAACTTACCAATTGACTAGAAGGATTTGTGTAATTGTATTAACCATAAGGCTTTTTATACTACTTAAACTAATTTAGAATCAAAAAACAATTGTTTATTCCAGAACAAGCTCTGCTGCCGCAAACCCTCAACCACCACACCACCTCATCTCGACTTTCGTCCTATTGCAGATGGCCATGTCTGGTGGTCTACTCATCGTCATCTTCTTGCGTTGATCCTCTCCGCGGTCCGTGATTGCTACTACCCAACAACAGAGTCTTCCGTCCAGCCACTGCATAGTCTCGCATCTCTCTCTCTCCACAGTCAAACAATACACCACTTGCTTTATATAACACTAAGAGTTCAGAGGAAGAAGATAAGAGACAACCCAGGTATATAGAATTCCATGGCACTACCCATGCTTTGGTAGAGTGGATGTGCATAGTGTTGTGCTGGAAAATGCACCTAAAATTTTCAAATGACTTCCCCATATATACAAAAGGACATTGTTCGTGCTATTGCATCTGAAATAACTAAGGAAATCAATTGTGATATTGGAGAAGATCTGTTTTCCATTTTGGTTGATGAGGCTCTTGATACATCAAACAAAGATGGATATTGTGTGATGTTATGTAAACCAAAAAGGGTATGTGATGGAGAGACTCCTTGGGATTGCTCATGTTTCATATACTAAAGCCTTGACACTTAAAATAAAAATTGAATCAATGCTAGTGACCAATGGATTGAGCTTGTCAAGAATAAGGGTCCAAGGTTACAATGGAGCTAGCCTTGACACTTCTTAACTTGCCTGTGATATACTCTTCTGTTATTGATTGTTTGGATATCATAAAAAAGGAGGCAAAAGGTGAAGCAAATGTCACATTGATATGAATCCAAAGTTTTGATTTTGCATTCATCTTGCATATGATGATTAAATTTTTAGCAATTACTAATGAGTTATCTAAATCATTGCAAAGGAAAGATCAAGATATAATTAATGCCATGCAGCTTGTTCGTGGAGCAAAGCTTAGATTACAGGATTTGAGAGATAAAGGATGGGAGTCTCTTCTTGACAGTGTGATTTCTTTTTGCAAGAAGGAATATCTTCTCATTTCCAACATGGATGAGTTATACATTCTTTCTGGAAGGCCAATGAGAAATGCTCACAAATCACCAATCAGAATCATTACAAGATTGAGTTATTCTATACAGTGGTGAATATGCAGTTACAAGAGCTTAACAGTCGTTTTGATGAGGTGAACACTGAATTGCTATGTTGTGTGGCTTGCCTAAATCTGGATGATGCATTTGCTGACTTTGACAAGGAAAAGCTGTTGAAGCTTGCTACCTTCTGTCTTAATGAATTCTCTATTGATGATATCTTACATCTTGATCCTCAGCTAGATAGTTATACCTTTGATGTGAAGATGAAACGAGGTTCACTAAGTTGAAGGGAATTGCTGAGCTTTGTAGGGAAATGGTTGTGTCAAAAGAAGTTTCGACCGTTTCCGCTAATGTATCGCCTTGTGAAATTGGTGGTGTTGTTGTTACCAGTTGCCACCGCAAGTGTTGAAAGAGTTTTTTCGCCAATGAACTACGTGAAGAACATACTACGAAGTCGAATGAGTAATGAAGGGTTGAATGATTTTTTGGTAGGATATGTTGAGAGTGACATCTTAGATAGGTTGGATGATGTGTGTATTTTACAAACTTTCCAAAATATGAAAACACATCGTTGATCATTGTAAAGATTAATTAAGTTTATTTTTTATATATTTTCATTCCAGATCCACCTTAAGCGAAATCCTGGCTAAACAAGGGTAGCTGCCCAAAGAGGACCGGCAACTCAACCCAGGTCAAGTTTTTGCTCCTTTGCTTTCCAGCGGCAAAGGATGTAGCAAAGAGAGGGATAACCATTCTCGACGAAACAAACTTGCTAGACTTAACTTTTTAGGACCAACTGCTCGCTACTAACAGTAACTAGTAGAAACATACATAGCAATGCAGTTTCAAACAAGACCACCGTCGAATAGACATGAAAACCAGCAACAACCTTTAATGAATATCAACTTCAAGCTAACACAACGTTGGCAAATAGCATATAATGTTTCTCTAGATATATATATATATATATGGAAGAGCTTCCAAAATGCTGCTGTTAGTACCAAAACAAACTACCTGACCAGCTCTGCAACGAGGGGGGAAAAGTATAACTGAAGCCTTCAAACCAAGGTAAATCAGAGAAGACGATTCAAGTTTTGCTGGTTCTTGATTTACCACTTCCTCCCACGCCCGCGGCCTCGACCACGTCCACCTCTTCCTCCACCACCACCTCTGCCTCCGTGACCTTTACCACCATTACCACCACCATGTCCTTTCAATTCCTCCGGCAAGGGAAGTATGTTGTCAACACACTTCCTGAAGCTGAAATCCTCCACAGAACCATCTTCCCTAACGAGGAAGAAGCACTGACTCTTCCACATCGGGTGATCACGAATTTGAAAAGATCGGACCCCAGAACCAATCTTTTCCTCCGACTCTTGATGGCCCTTCTTCAGCAAATCCACCAAAACCAAATGCTCATACTACAATTGTACCAAGAAACAAACGGCATAAAAACATAATCCAAACTGAAAAACATAATACAATCAATCGACCCAGAAACTGAATAACTATAAAGGTTAACAGCATAAAAAGTTTCAAGGTACGCATCTAAACATGACAGCACAGTTAACGAATCCGCCGATCCGAGATTAAACCCACTCTCAAAATAAATCTTGTCAGGACAAAGAAACATCTGAATCCAGATACAGTATTTAAGGTACGAGGCAGGCATACACACCCAGTTTGCAGAGCACTTTAAGGCACAAATAAACTTTGTTGAAGACTAAACATTCTAGATCAGGAACCACAGTCCATAACCAACAAATAACACATGGACTACCCAAAGAGGTCACCGCACCCAACCGCAACATCAAAATGCTAGGGTAGGTAATTAACACCAGAAAATTGCCCATTGATTAAGTCAGTTTCTGAATACTAACACACACCAGGGAATGTATCAACCAACAAACTAAACAATTAAGTTTAATTGAATAGCTTTCTGGAGTACTCAACTTCACTACCAAGTGACTGAGTAATCAACATATTTGCTTTGAAGACGCCATCCCAACCATGCCGTCACGTACAAATTAACTGGGCAGAGGAGTTATATAAATGTTGGGAAGTTTTATAACTCGCAGAAAAGAACAGTCAAAAGCAAACAAACAATGATCACATCCGCCAACATTTGTCTAAAGGATCAACGAAGTTTTGACATAGTAGGCAAATCAAATAAAGAGTGAAGGGCACCCAAAACTTGGTAAAGGAAATACCTTGTTCAAATCCAATTTACTTGGCCATGCGTGAAGCAACTTGAAGAAGTAATCAAACATCTGAGTAGATGTCCCGAACTTCTTCGGACCCAAGCTGACAACCACTTCCACAGAAGACTCTCCCCCAACTTTTTCTTCCCCTTCTCCGGCTCCCTCATTTGCTCCATCCGCGGACTCCTCCACCTTCTGCTTCTTGGTGGCATCGCCGTTCGCACCTTCCTGCTCCTCCCTGGCTCGCTTCCCTCCTTCTGCCGCTTCAGAAATCTCCACGACCTCCATGTCTACGCCAGCTGAGACGACTGGCTCTGGATTGTTTACAGCCGCCTCGGCTGCTGTTCCTTCCGCCATGATTGAAAAAAGAAGAGAGAAGAATGGGGCGGCCTTTGAACAGTAACAGTTCGTAGTTGAAGAAGATGGGAGAAGAATGGAGTGGAGGACGGAGGGTTTCGGAGGGTTTTTCAATTGTTTCTGGAGCTCGGAGCGGGTATCAGTTCTGATTTTGGACCCAGCATTCTGTCTCCACACGGGTATTCGAATCCAATGTGGATTTGGGCTTGTTAGTCAAAACTGCCGAGTCAACTTTTAGCCCATGAACTGGCTAGGTTTGGCAAGTTCAAAATGGCAAAATAAGGATTGGCCTTTTAGGGTTTTACTCTTCTTAAGCCGTTGAATTGGGACAAAATCAGGTGATTAAGGAGATGCTTTATATGGAATCTGATATTTTTTTTATTATGAAGATGTGTTTAGAGGCTTAGCTTATCAACAGACAAAATTGGAGGTCTATCTATCCAAAGTATTGGGAACTCCCAGTTCGTTTCATTTTGCCATGATATGCGCTACTACATTCACTTGTCTTCTCACATGTTGTCATAATCTGGTTCTAGATGCAGCTAGAAGTTGTCTAATACTATGACAAATAGTGTCCAGCTCAACATGGATATTCTTTGCCTCTTTCAACATTTTCACGAGGCTGGGGCAGTTCATTTTTAACACCACATTCGAGTATTGAAATTGCCTTACCAGCCTTAATCCAAACTCGGCCACTAGAGCCTCAACTGTCTTCGCATCCTAATCCCCTTGCCTCTTCTATGTTGCAGCTATCAAAACTCCCATAAACATTCTGAATCACTACCCCAATTCGACTCCACCCCCTACAAGATCCCTGCGTCGGTATTCACTTTAATTGTACCAAACCTTGAACGTTTCCAGCTGAGTTAGGCTGCCACAGCTTCCGGTAAGACTCCACGATGTTGGTTCAATTTATAATCTTGAAGAGAGCATTAAGCTCTTGAGACAATAGAAATAGTGTGCATTCCATTCCTTCCAAAGGTGCCATCTCTCTTGATCAGGTTCACGAAATGGCGCACGTCTCCTCTGATCAAGTGGTTCAGTTTTCGATGGAAGAGGTGCAGTCAACGAAATATCGATCGGCTCACTCGCTACTGGGCAGGGTCTTCACGGAGGGTCGGATTTCGACGACGGAGCTGCGAGAGGCTGTCCTTGATCCCTGGCTGATACAAGGCCGCCTTCGGGTGGTGCTGGCCAAACATGGATTGGTTGAATTCATGCTCCCAAGTGAAGAAGCAAAAATCTGGGTGCTGAAACGCAGTCCATGGGTTGTCAATGACAAAATTCTACACCTCCGGCAATGGACCCCCATTATCACAAAACAGATTTTTGATGATCTTGCCATCGTTCCCTTCCGGATCCAGCTCTGGAATGTGGAGGAAGATTGCTGTACGCAGCAGTTCGGTAAAAAAATGGTGAATGCCACGATCGGCAAAGATTTGGAGTCAGGGGTGTTTGCTTGCCAGGAGACGGACACTTGGTTTGTGAAAGTCAAGGCACTAGTTGATTTCTCCAAGCCGTTGCGCTCGCAGATTATGGCAACTAATGAGGACATGGGCTATTTTTGGGTGGGTCTCAAGTACGAATACCTTCCTAGCTTCTGCTATCAATGCGGGAGGGTGGGACATTCACTTCGATCCTGTACCTACGACCCACCAACCCGGAAAGAGAAGTTCGGTCCCCATATGTCAACCAGGAAGTTGGGTACTCGAATTTATGAAAATGATGATCAGAAAACTACCTACCCTAGAGGAACAAATTCTGTTTGGGTGAACAAACGATACCATGACAACAATGGTGCTCGACTGGGGGTGATCAAGCCCATTAACCAGCAGGGCGATGTCCAAGGGGAAGGTGCTGATGTTGCTAGGCTACCTCGGCCCAATCCCAAGGAGGCCGGCCCTGAGAACCCCCTATCGTCTAGAGCTGGATACAGCCGCCAGAGCCCAAAAGGGTTTAGATTGTCCAAATCTCCCCAGTTGCTGAAGCTTGGACGCGCTGCGGCTGCAACCAAAATGGGTCGCGGCCCACCAGCGGGAAGTCCAGGTGGCCTGCACCGACTTCTATCTTCGGGGGAAGGGATTCGGGGGATGCTGAGGGTCCCTTTTCTCAAAAGCAGCTGTCGCAGATGGAAGGGCCCCTGTTTGACGAGGGCGAGACATCAGAGCGGAGGGTGGTTCCGGAACCCACGGCGGTGGAGACGAGGAAGGTAGCGATGCCAGCTGTTGAGGTTCGCCGCAAACGGCTGATCCTGGATGAGTCCGACGAAGACCCCATCCCGGTTACTTCTGCCAAGGATGGGAAAAAGGTGGAAGAGCAGAGGAAAAATTCTCGGCGGTTGGTGAAGCTTGGACAGGGAAACGCAGCGTCCGGATCCAAATCCCGTCTGAAAGCTTCTGCTACTGGGGAGAAACTGATGGCCGAGAAGAAGCAGGGGGGCTACTCAGCCTCAACGCAAGGTGGGCCAACGAAAGAAGACCGAAGGAAAGAAAAAGGGTTCTGTACCTTTGGCGGTGGAGATCCCCCAGGATGGCGGAGGGACTGTGGAGCAGAAAGTAGCTGTGGATATGGAACAGGGGAAAAGCACCAAGGAGCCGATTGACTCGGATGCTTCCCTCTCTGAGGAGGAAGAGAACCGGTTCAAAATTAAAATCAGAAGCCCGGAACTTGACCATGGCCACCAAATTCAGCCGGGTCAGGTTCGGCAAGTGGTCGATTCTTTTGAGGCTAATTTGGTTATCAATAATCGCAGGAGACTTCGGATCATGGTGAGGGTGAGATGATCATGAAGCTCAATGAATATGGAACTAATTTGGGATCTGGCAGTAGGAAGAGATCGCTCGAGGAAGTAGAGGGTGTGATTGCAGAGGCCCCCAATCCAAAGAAACATTTTGTGGAAGAACCCAGTGGTGCTGATATGGTGGAGGTAGCCAGCCAAGAGTGGCCCCAGTCCGATAAATGAAGATCCTCGCTTGGAATGTGAGAGGAATTGGACCATCTCTCACATTCCAATCAGCTTTAGGGTTGGTTCGATCAAATAAACTGGACCTTGTGTTCTTTTCAGAGACAAGATCGTGCCGGAGAGTCGTTTCCCGTAGGTTGCGGGGTTTAGGTTTTGATTCTTCTCAATGTTTTTTTGTTGATGCCGTCAATGGCTCTGGTGGTCTCGTTGTAGCGTGGTCCCCGGAAGTTGAGACGATAGTGTTTTTCCATTCTAATTTTTGCATTTGCACAAGGATTAATGAGAATAATTCTTCGTATGTGGTGATTTGTGTTTATTTGAGTTGCAACTTGACAGTTCGAGCTGCTCAATTGACTCAATTGCGTGAGATCGGAGAGGGGCTTGATCTCCCGTTTGTAATCATTGGCGACTTTAATGCCACCCTTAATGAAACTGAGAAAGAGGGGGGAAAATCATGGAGTGCTTCACAATCTTTGGACCTACGTCACCTTATCCAGAATCTTGGGCTCCATGATCCGGGTTTCCAAGGTGATATATTCACTTGGACCAATAAGCGGATGGGGTTGGATTGTATTCGGGCACGGCTTGACAGGGCCCTTTGCTCTCATAGTTGGATGGATCGGTTCCCGGAGACCCTAGTTAAGCATTTCACGGATCAGGGGTCTGACCATCGGGCTCTTCTGCTGTCTGACAAACCTTATACCCGAATGTGTCGGCCGCTGTTTCGGTTTGATGCGAGATGGGCAGAGAATCCGGAAGTAAAGGCTATGGTGGCTTATGTCTGGCAAGAGAGTATCTCTGGTACCCCTATGTTCCAATTGTGGACACGTTTGAAAAAACTCCTCCATTTGCTATATGATTGGAGTAGAGCGGGTACTACGAACTCCCTGCGAAATATTCATACTTTGCAGAATGAGATTGAGCGTATAAAAGCCGTTCACCCTGTTGATTGGCACAAGGTGAATGGGCTGGAAATTGAACTGAATCGACAATGGGAGGCGGAGGAAAGCTATTGGCAACAAAAATCTCGGGTCCAGTGGCTGAAAAAAGGGGATAAAAACTCTTCCTACTTTCATACAGTCACGAGGGCAAGGAGGAAGCAGAATTATGTAGCTGGCCTATATAATGATGAAGGGGATTGGGTTACTGAGGAACATGGTAAGGCTGACATTGCCACCAGCTACTATCACACCCTCTTTACATCGGAGAACCAGGTGCCCAACGTAAATGAGCGGGTGGCGGCTCTCCCCATCGAGCCTTGTGTCTCGCTGGAGATGAATGTGGTGCTAACGGCAGAGGTCCTCCCTGGTGAAATCCAAAGGACGGTGTTCAATATGGGCTCTAAGCAAGCACCTGGCTCGGATGGCTTTACGGGTAAATTCTTCAAATCATTTTGGGGAATTGTTGGGGATTCGGTAAATAAGGCGGTTGGCTCATTCTTCGAGACAAATCGAATGCTGCGTAGTTTCAACCACACCTGGTTGACCCTGATAACCAAGGTGGATCAGGTGGAGTCAATGCGTCAATTGCGGCCTATTAGCCTCTGTCAATTTATTTACAAGGTGATCACCAAAATTATGGCAGAAAGGCTTGCTTCGCTGCTACCCCAAATCATATCCCATGGACAGAATGCGTTTATCCGTGAGAGGCAGATTGTGGAGAACATCCTTCTAGGCCATGAGCTGATGCACTATTTGAAAAACAAAACCCGGGGGAAGAAGGGATTCATGGCTCTGAAGGTTGACATGGAAAAGGCCTATGACAGAGTCGAATGGCCATTCCTTCTGGCGGTTTTGGAGAAAATGGGTTTTAGCTCGGTTTGGAGGGGTTGGATTCAGGAATGCTTGCAGTCTGCTACTTTTTCAGTCCTCATGAATGGGTCTCCGGCTGGTTTCTTTGCCCCATCGAGGGGTCTCCGGCAAGGTGACCCGCTTTCGCCTCTCCTGTTTGTCATATGTACGGAGGGATTTGCTGCCTTGTTAAGGCAAGCCATTGATTTGGGAAAGTTGCAAGGAGTGAAGGTGGCCCCGCGTGCGCCTCGTATTTTGCATTTATTCTTCGCTGATGATTCTTATCTTTTCCTGCGAGGGTCTCTCCAGGAATGTGAGAATTTGATTGAGGTTCTCAATGAATACGAGGAGCTTAGTGGTCAAAGGGTGAACTTAGAGAAGTCTGCCGTTTGCTTTAGTAAAAATATCGCTTTGGCAGATCAGGAATTCTTGGCAGCAATCCTTGGTGTCGGGGCTGTGGGAGTCCAGGATAAATATCTTGGTCTCCCCTCCCTCATTACCCGCTCTAAGTTAGCGACTTTTCGGTACCTTGAGGAGAAGCTTCTGGCTAGGTTACAGGGTTGGAAACGTAGAACGTTGTCCTGGGCGGCAAAAGAGGTACTTATTAAATCAGTGGCCTTAGCTCTGCCGCTTCATGTCATGTCTTGCTTTAAACTGCCTTTATCCCTTTGTCGCCTTCTGGATAAGCATCTAGCGCGTTTCTGGTGGGGGGTCGAAGATGGTAAGACTAGGATACGTTGGGTTTCTTGGCGGAACATGTGCAAAAGTAAGCATGAAGGGGGAATGGGCTTTCGCCGGTTTGAGCATTTCAATCAGGCACTGCTTGCTAAAATTGGCTGGCGACTCCTTCAGGAGCCCAATTCTCTCCTTGCCCAGGTGTACAAAGGAAAGTATTACCCCAATGGGTCCTTTCTCACAGCGACAGCTAGATCGCGTCCATCTTGGGGGTGGCAGAGCATCCTCTTCGGCCGTCAGTTGTTGGAGAAGGGATTACGTTGGCAGATTGGCAATGGGCATAAAGCCCCTCTTCTCACGTCTAGCTGGATCCCGCAGCAACATCCCTCCCCTCCAGTCTTTAACCCTTGTGTGATTCCGGAGGGGGTGGAGTTGACTGTGGCTGAGGTGATTCAACCGGGTGGAGGGGCCTGGTGCGTGAGTAAACTTGAACAATGGTTTGATCAACAGACTTGCCGAGCTATTCAAACTATTCCCCTACCCAGGCAGAATATTGAGGATCGATTGATCTGGCATGCGACCCCAGATGGTGTTTTTACGGTTAAATCTGCTTATTACGTTGCGGTCAACTTGGATCGACAGCGAGGTCGTTGGAGGGCTCTGGTCAGTTGGATGGATAAGGCCAGCTGGATCAGGCTGTGGGACGCTAATATACCGCCTAAGCTTAAGATGTTTCTCTGGCAGATATTCCATAGAGTCCTACCTACTACGGAGGCCCTGATTGAGAGGAAGGCAGAGGTCTTGCCTCGCTGCCCTGTGTGTTGGGAGGCATCGGAGACTCTGGAGCACTTGTTTCTTGAGTGCCCGGTGGCTCGGGCCCTTTGGGATCACTCGGGGATAGCTCACCTGGGCGAGGGACTGCCTCGACATACCTTCCCGCTCTTTCTTAAGAGATTGATGGCGTTGCTGAGTCAGCCTTCGTCGCTAATGTTGGTAGTGGCTGTATTATGGCGTATATGGCGTTCTCGCAACTGGGTTGTCTTCGAAGGAAAGCAATTTGGGATCCCAGCCCTAATGCGTCAGCTTAACCAACAGGTCCAGGAGTGGGTTGATCTTCCGGCGACTCAGGTTGCCCATCGCCCGATTTCTCGCAGTCTCCCCCTAGATTCGGTGGAGGCACCTGGGGTGGTCTGCATGTGGGATGGGGCTGTGCGGACTGGGTCTCACTCAGCAGGGGGAATGGTTCTCATGAGTTCTACTAGAGCAATCCTCTTAGCCAGGGGGATTCAGCTCCCGGGACTGGAGGACCCTTTGGTGAGTGAGGCAGTTGTTCTCCGAGAGGCAGTATATTGGTGTCTGGATAATGGTTTTACTATGGTGCGCTTTGAGGGGGATGCCCAGGTGGTCATTGAGAAGATTCTGCGGCGGGAGGCTACAGATAGTCACGTGGGGTCGATTTTGGAGGAGGTGGTCCAGCTGTTTGACATGAATGTGGGATTTACGGTACGATTTGTAGGCCGGCGTAGCAATAGGGTAGCTCATTTGGTGGCTAAAAAAGCCCTTTCTTTGTACCCGACTACAAGTCGTTTTGATTATCAGGCCTGGCTGAATTCCAGGGTGTAATTGCCTTTTGTTCTCAATCAATACATGATTATCTTTTGTCAAAAAAAAAAAAGGTGCCACATAAGCACACATCATTCTTCACATACATGATCTTTTGACGTTTGGAACACCTATACAACCTATTCCAAGAAACTTCTCCCCTCTTACTTCTAAAAGAAACTCGCAATACTATATTAGTGCCATAATATGCATGTTTGGCCACACTGCCCAAATAGATGGATTTGATCTATCTGATTGCACAAGAAGGGAACTTATCACCTTTTTTCTTGCTCTTGATACTAAGGTGATCTCTAGTGGCCAGCGCATCTCTTGAAAATCTCCACATAAAGTTTCGAACCTTTGGCGAGATTTCCATTGACAAAAGGTTGTTCCACATTGAAGCTTCTCCTCCTATCCCAACGTTCTCTCTAAGTTTGAAACTTTTAAGCCAACGAAGGTATTCGTCTAAGACTATATACACTCGTGTTATGTTGTTCCCTGATTTGGGTCCAAATGTACACATTTTACCCCTCATTTCTTGTCTGTTATGCTTAGTAGATCACCGTTCCTCAA